GGGAGGATTCCCATGTACCCTTCACCCAGCTTCCCCTCAGTGACAATGTTTTAAATAACCATAGTACAGCTATCAAACCAGGAAATTGACAGTGGCAAAATACAATGCAATTAAACTTATTTGGATTTTATCAGGTTTAGGTGCCATAATTTTTTAGGTCTTGGTAAATAGCTCTATGAAGTTTTATCACACGTGTAAATTTGTGTGACCATCACCTTAATCAGGTTCCGAACAGTTCCATTACCACAAACAAAGTCCATAAAATACTGCTTTATAGTTACACACATCTCCCAACACTGACTGCTGTCAACCACTGAGCTGTTCTCCATCACCATGTTTTGTCACTTCAGTAATAATAAATAATACGCAGGGAATAAAACCAACATTTTATAATAAAACATAAATGGAGTATAACCCTTAAAAATTGTGAATTACAATTTGTACACCTGAAACTTATATAATATTGTAAGTCAACTATACCTCAATACAATTTTTTAAAAGAATAATAAATAATAAATGGAATTCACAATATGTGACCTTTGAGTTTGACTTTTTAATCTCAGCATAAAGCCCTTGAAATGCATCCAACATGGTGCAGGTATTGGTAGCTCGTTCCTTTTCCTTGCAGAGTAATATTCCATTGGATGAATGCAGCACAGTTTATCAATTCATGTTGGAAGAACTTTGGGTTGTTTCTGTTCGTAACCATTAAGATTAAAGTTGTTTGCACATTTGTGTTTAGATTTTTATAAGTTTTCATTTTTCTTAGATAAATAACCAGGAGTTGAGTGGCTGGGTCATAGGGTTCACGCATGTATAACTTTGTAAGAAACTGCCGAACTGTGCAGCAGATTGGCTGTTTCATTTTGCCTTCCTGCATGACAGTTCTGTTGCTCTGCATCCTCATCAGCACTTAATATTGTCAGTACTTTTTATTTTAGCCATTCTAGTAGGTGTGTGGGAATACCTCACAGTACACCTGATTTTTTTTTAACTTAGAACAGCTTGTAACTCTTTGTATATCAGAATAGAAAGCTACTCATTTTTTTTCCTGCAGCTGCATTGTACTTTCTTGTATGGATATACACCATAATTTATTTAACTGATCCCTTTTTGATTGGCATTTGGGTATCTCCAATCTTTGCTATTTCAGGTACTTGAGCCCCAGCTTTCAACCACCACACTGATCTGCCTTTTCAAATATCAAAGACACTGGGCACATACATCCTGTCTCTTTCAGCAAAGGTTTCTATTAGTGATTCTTCTGACTTTAAGTGAAAGAAACCTAACTTGAACTAACTTTAATTAAAAGAAATGGAAGTGAGCAGATCACAGATGACAGAATTAAACAACTGAACTGCAGGAGTGGTGGGATTAGGATGCTCAGAACCAGACAGCACCTGGTCTCTCTCTCCACATCCCTTGTTTGCCCTTTCTCATGTCTGGGTTTTACCCCCTCTCTTCAGAAGGCAGTAAGCATGGCCACCAGTAGCTCCCAAGTGTTACATCTCACAGCTCCCCATACTGGGGGTGGTGGGGGGAAGATGCCTCTCTTTGCCAGATCTAAATCCAAGGTGTCAGAGAAGGGTCTGCCCATTTAGGGATGGGGGTGGGGGTGCAGTTTTAACACAATCCTGGCCATCTCAGGTAGGTAAGATAGTTCTGGAGATAGTCTTGTGTGCAGAGGAAAGGTTGGAAAAGGAATCTCAAGATACAGAGATTTCTCCTCTCTTGGGATTGATCACATCCGATTCATTTCCAGATCTCCCAACACAAATAGCCATGCTCAGCACACATTAGATGCTAAAGGCATGCAGGCTCATTCTGAACAAGATATGTGTCAATCAATCATGCATTCTAGTAAATTGCCTCTTATTTCTTCGCAAGCTGGGGGAACCCACCATTTAAAATAATGCCGTTAAATTCCTCTGCGAAGCAGGCTTTCTTCACCTAAATGCTCACAGCAGGATTTGCTTAAAGTGAGGCATGCCTGTAATCTCAGTTCCTGGGGGAAACCTTTGATTTTCCTGACAACCCACTGAGATAGGCGAGGATGTTACGAGGGCAAACGGTTAATGGATGTGAAAGCTTTCTGTGACCTGTAAGTGGTACAGAAATGTAGGACCTCACCATGACTATTATGATTATCCTTATTTCATCTCTTCTTTGAAGAGCTTTACACTGTAATTTTGGAAGTGGAATTGGAGACACCTCTCTAACAGTTCAACCTCATACTTCTCCTCTAAGTCTCAGTCCTGGGTCTCAGAGCATCATTTCCCACCAGCCTACTGCTTCTATTAAATACAACATAAAGAGCTTTCCACAGCCAGAGGCCTCCTTGGATGGGAATAAAGGGAGGCATGGAGGCAGGGGCTTCCTGAGGCACATTTAACTGTCTCTAAACTCCCTGTGGCAAAACAGCCCTTTCTAGCCCAAATTTGGGGATCTGACTTCACAGTCTTCTTGGAGCACCTAACTCTATGCTAGACGCTGGAATCCCAGGAAGCCCACAGTCCAGGGGAGGCAGCACATCCCACTAACTGTGCTTCCAGGCAGAGAAGGGAGGTGCAGAGGTCCCCAGGGCAGTGGATTTGGAAGGTGCTTTAAGAAGAGCCCTGGCCCTGACCTTGACAGAGCGGTAATGTGCATTTGGATGATGTCACTGACCCTAGCAACCTCAGTCCTTCCAGCTGCCCCTCTACTCCTAGGGTCCTGGCATGGGAGTCCTTGTGGTTTCCTCCCAAATTCTTCCTCTCTTTCTCTACATTTTCCCTCCCTTCCTCCAGATTCCTTCTCCTTGTTTCTCAGTACCTTTCCCTCCCTTTGAGGTCTACCTCCGTTCCTACCAGTCTCCCATGCTTGGTTTTGCAAAGAATGCCACCACCTCCCCTTCCCTTGCTGGCTCTGCGGGGCCACAGCAAAATGCATGTAGCCCCGGGAGCCTTTGTCATAAATCAGTCTCTCTGGAGGCACAGTCATTTTTATTGCTCTTCTGTGAACATCCTGTCATCCCTCTCCCTGTCTCAGATATTGGCAAGCTTGGAACTCACAGCCCTCTTCCCAGATACATCTCATTAGAGACCTGCCGATGGCTGTCTGCCTTTGCACTGTGAGTCTTCCCTGGCCAATTATCTTGACCTCATCACGACTTTTGGCAGACACCCCAAAATCAGCAGTGAGGGTCGACTCTCCCAGGGCCTCACCCACCACTCCTGTCCTTCCTTCTGTCTCATTCCCCTGAGGCAGTGCATGTCCAGGAATCCCATAAACCACGGCTGAGACTAGAAAACAATATTGATGACTGTCCTGAGCCCCTCACCCCAGAAAGAAGTTAAGGGGCCCCAACATGTTCGAGTGAACAGTGCAGTGCAGTCAAGAAGCTCTGTGATGTTTATGCATAGAAATGTGCATAGGAATGCTGGTGACTGGGCAATAGTGATCAAAAGGCAATGAATTCTACTGAAAGGGTAATTTATCACAGTGGTTAATAAACACAGACTGTCTGAAGTCAGTGAACTCGATGGAAAATAGATAGGTCACTAGGACCTTGAGGGAGTGCAGGCAAAGCCAGGAGTGGAGTGGCTGCAGACTGTTAACATCCTGCCATCTCAAGTGTGAAGTGAGCTGAGAACTGGCTGGAATTAGACCAAATGACGCAGGGGTTCCAGCAGAGGCTGGTCTGTGCATGAGCCCGTCCCCGTCCTAGAGGAGAATAACAGACAGAGAAAGGCAACGTGTAGGTGCATCATTGAAACTTGGGTGTGGACCAACACGTGGTCTCACTGGTTCTACCTTAGGAGTCTGGGCAAGGTCTGTGCTAGGGACAAGGAAGTAAATCAAAGGGGGAGCATTTGAGAGCTATGTCAGCTGAAATGGGATCTATGCCCTTGAAAGGCTTGGGGTGAAATCAACCTAAATTATGCCATGTGATCACATATCCCCATGGTCTTACCAGTTCTACTGATGGGCACTGCTGCCTGAAAGAACTTTGACCCAAAGGACTCTTGTCAGTTGGCTTGGTTGCAGAGCACTTGTATCAGTTTGATGCTAAGATGCTCTACCTACCCTATTGCCCAAGAAAGTTGGCCCTCCTGGAGGTGGGTAGCTGGATAAAACAGGGGGTCAGTAAATGAAATCACTCCTTCAGATCTTAGTTAGAGGGAATCTACTGTTGCCAGGCTGGGACCACAACAGTGAGCAAACTGACTCCCCACAAAGTCCGTGCCTTCATGGTGTTTATATCCTAGTTCCCTGAATATTTCCTAAAAATCAGACTTCCCTGTATATGGGCAAAATTGAAAGTTTTATCTTTCTTAAATCTGTCCTTCTCCCCCTGCTTTCCCAACTACAGAATGGTTGATAAAATAAAAATACTTAAGCCTTAAACTGGAGTTCAGAGAGAAAGATATATTATGTTTCAGTTTAAGTGGGAACATTGTTAAGCAAATCCACTCACTAGTTCATAGTCAAGAACTGAGCAGCAGTCTCTATGTTAGCTATAAACAAGATTAAAATAATCAGCATGGCAACCATGCAAACATTGTTCAGGAGGGAAAAAAAGGAAAGGAAAAGTAAGAAGCAGATACAGAACCCAGTCTGGAAAAAAAATTCCAAATAATGGAAGAATATTTCACCAATATAATAAAGCTTGATTAAATAAATAAATGTATCAAAATAAGAAGGTAAAGAACAGATAATAAAACAATACAACAACTTTCACTTGCAGCCAAAATGAAGAGACAGGCACCTGACTTACCCTATCGTCTGAAACAACCAAGAAAATGGACAAAATATATGAAAAAACATTTTTCAAGACACGGGACAGGCTACAAAGAACGGTGATCCCTTAAAGATGGGAAATAGAAGAGACGAGCCTTACAATTGCCTCAGTGGTACTCTTGGAGCCTCCGGGCATCAACACATGCAGGGGCTCATGTGGTGTGGGAGGGGTTCCTGTCCCCACCAGCCAGAATCCCACAGGCATTAAATAGAGTACTTACAGGCTTTTCTTCAGGTAGCAGAGCAAAACTGGCCCAAGACTAAAAGTTGCTCTGGTCAGACCCCACAATGCTTAAAAGCAAACATAAAAGGATTACGTTTTTAAGAAATTTAAGTGCATCTCAGAACAAGGCTCAAAATATATGTATATATATAGGAATATAAAACTACCCAACACCCAATAAGATAAAATTCAACATTTCTGACAGCCAATAGCAAGTTATCAGAGAAGCAGGAAAAGGTAATCCATAATCCATAAAATATGATCAATCAAAACTGATCTGGAAATGACACAGATAATATAATTAGTACACAAAGACATTAAAACAGTAATTATTATTGCACTCCATATGTTCAAGAAACTGAAGGAAAGAGATATAGAGACTGATGATATAAAGATACAAAGGTGGACTCTGGTAAGTTGAAGATGTATATACTACATACCCTGAAAGCAAAACTAAAATAACTAAATAACTAAATAAAGAAGTAAAGTTAATAAGCTAAAAGCCATTATGGAAAACAGTACAGAGATTCCTTAGAAAACTGAAAATAGACTTCCCCTATGATCCAAGAATCCCACCCCTGCACATATATCCAGAGGGAACTCTAATTCAAAAAGATACATGCACCCCAGTGTTCATAGCAGCACTATATACAATAGCTAAGACATAGAAGCAACTTAAATGTCCATCGACAGATGACTGGATAAAGAAGTCGTGGTATATTTATACAATGGAATACTACTCAGCCATAAAAAAGAGTAACATAGTAACATTTGCAGCAACATAGATGGACCTGGAGATCTTCATACTAAACGAACTAAGCCAGAAAGAGAAAGACAAATATATATGATTTCACTTATATGTGGAATCTTTTTTTAAAAAAGGACATAAGTGGTCATTCAAAAATCCACAAA